TTTCCTTGCTCATAAAGGATAACAAATTTATCTCAAATTGTGAGAGAGCATTGAAAGATGGAATATGTGACAGGGGCTTTGTAAATAATGTTGTATCAAACAGCGATTTTATTTTCTTTCTGGTGGCCTCACTTGAGGCGCTAGTGCTGATGTGGTCCACTCAGGTTTCTCTTCTGCTTTTGCCAAGGGTAGATCTTGCTTGTCAAACACCCCCCTACCCCCACCAACCCCACAATAAGGATGACTCAATCTCCTTTGTGCCTTGAGACTCTTACTATTATTTTCCTTATACCAACAAAGTATTTAAGATGTGTTACAATAATTTATGCACATTTTAACCAACTTCTTGAAGGCAAGGATATCATATCAGTAATTCAGAGAAAGCCACTATGGCTTATTGATTCAGAGTGTGGGCTTTGAATGAAGTCTGGGCTTGGCTCCCAGGTTTACTGCTAAGCTGCCATGTGGCCAGGCTAATCTCTCCCCTTCGCTGTGCCTCCATTTTGCCAGCTTTGTCTCATCTTCCCCATTCCTTTCCAGTAACCGCAAATTGCTCTTCACTTTTTGAACAAATGTGCTATTATGTAAAACATTAGTATTTTAGAAGTGCTGAAGTCTATACAGGGAATTCTCTGTATTATTTTATGCAACTTTCTCCTATGCCTGGAATTATTTCTAAGTGAAAAGATAAGAAAAAGAGAGGAAAAGTACAGCCTTTGACAAATCTCTTTTCCTTTTATTTATTTATGTATACCCGACCTGGGGTACAGGACAGAGGTACGGGGGAGGGGAGTGAAAGGATTCACCAAAGAGAAAATGGGGAGCAGAACAGGCGGATCTACTGAAAAACACTGCTGAGGGGAGCAGTGAGCGAAACAGGAGAGGTCCACCACGCTGTGTGGGTCAGCACCCTGGCCAGGGAATTGAACTTCTGCTGCAGTATCTGCAGATAGCTTCAGAGTGCTGCCCTTTAACTTGTTGCTCCACCAGGGAGGCCCTCATTCCCTCTCTGAGTCTTCATTTTCTCACCTGTAGAGCAGGGCATCGCCCCAACCTACTTTCTAGCATGCCATGAAATAGTGAAAAATACAGCATATATGTATTGATCCTGTAAAGTTTTTCTGGTTAATAAAGGCAGCTCTTGTAGTTGAAACAGCCAAAACTTCAGGAGGGGTCTACCCTAATGAGAAACATCTGGCTGGAAACTACTTCCTCCCAGCCATTTGCTATGACCTTGGCCATGGCTATAATAATGCCAGCTTTGTGGCTGGGTCGCTGTTGTCAAGGAGATGGCTCCGAATAGCCCAAACAGCTGGTGGCAGTGACGTCATCTCCAGGCTTGGCTGAAATAAAGTCCATGGTAAAACAGAGATGGGGCAAAGATTTCCATTCCTGCCTGCAAAAACAGGAAAACCAACTTCCCAAAGTCTATCCTTTGTGCAAGTGAGTCTATTTTCAGTTTCTAGGATAGCTAAAAAGTGGGGCACAGAATCCAGGAACACAGTCACTTGCTGGATAGGGCAAGGGATTACTCATAAGAACTCATAGGCTTTTTTGTCTTTATAGCTTCCCAAGGATCCAGTACAGTCTGTGAGCACATCCCTGAAATACTTTTGTCTGGCTGCAGCCCTTGCCTCTTAATCCTAAACATCAAAGTGGAGAAAAGCAAATAGGGGAGAGAGGCTGCCAGAAACCATCAGAGCCTTGAAGTTTAGAGGCACCGAGGCTCAAATCCTGGCTCTACCATTCATCACTAGTGAGACCTGGAGTAAGCTGTGTTCACCTTTTCAACCCCAGTTTTGTATCTATGAGCAAAATAAGAATAATAGTAGCACCTACTCCAGAGGGTTCTTGTGAGGGTTAAATGAGGTAGTGGGTATGATATGCCTGGCACAGAGATACTCCAAATGTGTAAGTCTACTTCCTTGTTTCTTTCTCAAAAGTGTTCATGTTGGATAGCAAGTTAGCTCATTTATTTGGGAAGTGATGACTTATAGCTCAGCCTTTCTCCCCAGTACTGTAGCTTTGAAATAAACACAAAGAAATAGCTCCCAGAGCTGGAAGGCCCTGAGATACCCATACAGTTCAGCCCTGGAATTGTACAGATTTAGAAAGGAAGCAAGGCCCAGCAGACAGGTGTTCTGTCAAAGGCCAGTGGCAAAATGGGGGTGGGTCTCTTGACACTCAGCTTCATTGCTTTTGTACACAATCGTCTCATTGGTTGAACTTAGCATCAGCATTGGTTTAAGGACTTCAAGGTCTGTCTCTTGCTTGGAGTAGAGATTCTGGCCTGCCAAATGATTCCTGCCCATTCTTTCAGGAAGTTATTTTATTGTTGATTCTTGCCTGCCCATCAATCCAGGAGCCCCTGCAGGCCCCAAAACCTTGCTGCTTGTCTGGGTCAAAGCCTATACAGACAGGAGAGGTCCCGCCCCTCAACAGAGTGACCCTCTTAAAACCTGAGATCTTATGGCTCACCTGGGTCAGTTCTGGGGGAAACCCTAGCTACTGCACCCCTACCCAGTGAACCCCAAGAGTAGTAGGAGATGAAAACCCATGTCCAACAGCAACCCCAACTATAGCAGAGCAAACACTAAAGCAAACATTAGGAAGAAAGAAAAATACAAATAGCCAAGCAAGTCCTCAGGGGAACAATTGACAATAGAGAGCAAAGAAAACCACAGAACCAAATCACAGAGATCTGGAAGACCTTCTTTACCTATCAGACAAAGAATTCAAAATAGCTATCATTAAGAAAATGAAACAATTGGAAGAGTACAAAGAAAACTCAGAAAAAACAGTTCAGGGATGTGCAAGAAAACTCAGAAAAGCAAATTAATGCTAGGAGAAACACAATCAAGGGACAGAAGATCAGCACTGACACTTCAAATAAGACAATGAGTGAGGGCCCTCCCTGGTGGTGCAGTGGGTTAAAGCACAACACTATGAAGTTATTGCGGCCACTGTAGCACGAGTTCAATCCTGGCCAGAGAGATGACCCACAAGGCATGGCAGACCTCTCCTGACCCAGCCTGCTTCTCCTCTTAGCAGTGTATTTCAGTATATTTTCCTGTTCTGCTCCCCACTCTGCCTCTTATCCTCTGCACCTCTGGCCTGTACCCCAATTCTGATACATAAGTAAATAAATATGAAAAACAAAAACAAAAAACCAACTGAACTGCAGGATGTAAGATCAACAGAGCAGATGAAGAATACTAGAGTAATGCAAGGATACAGAATAAATCAAATGGAAAATGAATCAGTGGGCTTGAATACAAATGGGAAGGAATCAGATGCAAAAAAGAGAGGACACAAAGGGGAAAAATGAAGCAACAGTGGGCCTCCCTGGATAGTCTGAGCACTATGAAGCTATCAGCAGTCACTATGCATGAGTTCAATATCTGGTCAATGAGCTGACCCACATGGTGTGGCAGACCTCTCTTGTCTCCCCCCACTGCTCTCCTGAGCCGTGTATTTCAGTCAGTTCACCTGTTTTGCTCCTGACTCTGTCTCTGGTGAATCCTCTAAATCACTTATCCTCCTCCTCTCCCCCCAATCCCACCCCCAAACTCTGACTTACACCCCCTCTTGTGTGCATCAAATTTTTGCTGCAGTGGCTGGGATAGCTAGAATGCTGAGACTTAATCACTGAATCACCAGGGAGGCCCTATCCTCATAAAAATTTTGCCAGTAGGTGAGTCATCTCCTCTCTTTGGGCCTCAGTTTACTGATCTCAGATTAAAACAGAGCAGACACGTTATTCAAGACAGTGCCAAAGGACAGTGCCCAAGGTAAGGGGCCAGGTCAGCCAATAGGTTCTCACCCATGTGTAAGCCACTCAGGCTCAGGGCCCAACAACAGCAGTGTTTATTTAACAAACAGGAGAGTGGGGGAAAAGTGTTTCTAAAGTCACGGGTTGTCACATCAGAGATGGTGTCTGCAGTGTCCAGAAGTCCCAACCAGAGGCTGCTAGTGGAAGATGAGATGACCCTGCAGCAACCCACACCTGCAGTCTGTAGGCTGGGCTGGACACCAGACCAGACAGTGATAGACTCACCAGCACCAGGAGTTCGTGCTTGAGAACCAGAAGATGTGGACCTTTTGGGCCTCAGTTTATTGATTTCATTAAGACGGTGCAGATACATTATTCAAGAGGTCTGCTGTGCCATGATGGTCAACTCCCTGGCCAGGGTACAACTCTGCAGATAGCTTCACAGTGCTAGCTCCAACCTCCTGCCACCAAGGAGGCCCCTGATTGGACAATTTTAAATCCACAGCTCCTAACTGAAGTATTTACTACCAATTAGCTTGCTTTCCATTTTCAATCCAAAAATTAATTGAAGTTGAGTGACAGAGAGAATGCTTTAACCTTTGTCTGTTTAGCTTAAATCTGATTAGTCCATTTAGTTTGATCCTGATTGGTCCATTTAGGACACCTCTGCAGATAATAAAAAAGAAAACCCCACCCCCTACCCACACTGACCTTCAGAGAATTCATGGTAGTCTTGGTGTGTTTGAGTCCTAAAGGTAATAAAGGATCACTAGGATTGGATTTCACAGAAAGGTTTTTTTTTTTTTTTTTTTTTTTGAGTAAAACAGCACCCACGGATCTGAGTTTTAAATTAAGAAGGATGCATTTTGAATGCACAGACAGTAAGGTTGGGTCATTATTCCAGAAAAGCACACTCCACGTTAGGAACTCTGAACCTCTAGAGAATTTGGATTCCCGTCTCCCGCTGAAATTAACGGACCGAGCCCTGATCTCGCCCTCAACAAAGATGGCCTATTCCCTTGCCGCGGCCTGAGTGCCCTCATGAAACATGGCATCCTTGCCTCTCTTTCCTTAATTTTGCTGGTCCAAGGCGGAGGCCCTGCCCTTACTTAATATGGCGCCCACCCGCGCTTCCCTGCCAGGCCTCTTGCCGAACTTTTCGGCTTCACCGCGCGCGCCTCGCTGACCCCGCCTTGATGCCGTAGGAAGAAGCGCCGGGAAAGATGGCGGCGGCTGTGGTTTGAATTCCAGCGGCGCCGCCAGAGTCCCAACAAGAGCTGGGTTGGAGGGGGGCGGGGACCTGGCGATCCGGGCCGGTCGCGACAGCGGGGGATCCAGGGGAGCCGCGGCCACAGAAACTAACGCCACCATCTCCTTTGTGTCCACGATGGACTCTGTAATGGAAGAGGACGTCACCCTCCCGGGGACTCTCAGCGGCTGCAGGTGCGGCCCGGGGCTTGGGGTTCGCGGTAACCGCTTCGGGATTCCCGCCCGTGCGGGGTTCGCGCCAGCGGAGACTTGGGGTTTGCACTTGAGGTTTTGAGAGTTCCAGACAGCAGTGCATCTGGTGGGTTTTCTGGGGTGATGTCTTCTGGGGACCCATCGGCAGATACTGAGTGTGGGAATCCCGGGGTTCCGACCTGCACCGCACCCGATTCTAGTATCCCTGGACATAAATTGAAGAGAGTGCGAGGGGTCTTTTGAAAGAGCGGAAACAGGGGTCCTCTTGGACTGTGCCGTTCGTGAGGACTGGACGCCGGGTTAGGGACCTTGAGGGCATTTGGTGGTTCATTCTGCTTTGGGGGTGTGCTTTCATTATGGAGAGTGTAGTTGGTCAGTCCAGACTTGACGTGTGTGTTCACACAGTGGCCACCAAGACCCCCGCAATCAAGTGCCATGCGTGGTTCCGAACCGTGGCTGGAGTTGAGCAAAATTGGATTCAAATCCAGCTCTTTAAACTGTGTAACTGGTAATGGGTATTAACCTGCCTTTCCCATTTGTAGGATGGGACTAGCAGAAATCCATCCAACAGAGTTGGGGTGAATATTAAGTGGAGCTACCCACCAGTTTACTTAGTAGATGTAATGGGTGTGTGGAATCTGTGCTTAAACGTGATTGTGGCTTATCATCATCATCATCACCATCATCATCTTCAGTACAAATTGGTGAGTGGTTACTGAGTGAAGCCTCCTATGGAACCTGCCTCAAGAGGTGGTAGCAAGGTAGCTGGTAGCAAGGCTGGCAGAGCCCTCGTGGCTTGGGTTCTTGGTTGTAGAGCTGGTAGAGGACTTGAGGAGAACCCTGACTAGGAATCTGAAGGGTTTATTCAGCTCTCTCGGGATAGGATGCTGTTTTTTTTTTTTGATCCACAGACTTATTGGAAGGGTGACCATGTTATTTATTGTGCCATCTGTGTGCGTTTCAGAGTGTCTGGGCACAATTAATATTTCTGCCTGGATAGCAGACATTACCAGGTCGTGCCCTTGATAGACTTGGACAAATGGTTACCCTGTTACTGAGAACCTAGTACTTAACAAGGCACAGAGAAGCTTCTTTGCAGTTCCTGCCTACTTGGGTCCTTTGGTAGTTTATCACTGCTGTTAACTTTTTTTTTTTAGATTTATTTATTTGTACATACAGAACTGGGGTACAGGCCAGAGGCTGTGAGAGGCTTCACCAGAGACAGAGTGGGGAGCAGAACAGGCAGATGGACGAAGTACACTGCTGAGGGGAGCAGCGGGCAGGTCAGGAGAGGTCTGCCACGCATGGGGTCACCTCCGGGGCAGGTGGGGATCGAACTCATGCAGAAGTGGCTTTAGCTTTTCAGTGCAGTGCTTTAACCCGCTGCGCCACCAGGGAGGGCCTCGCTGCTGTTAACTTTAATAGACATAACTGATCCCAGAGTTTGGGGTGTGACCTTTCCCCTTTCCTTCACACCTCTTTAAGTCCTTTAATGCTATAGCTTGAAGGCCACTTTGAAGATGTAAATCTTCAAAACTGTGATGAAGATGTAAATCTTCAAAACTGTGATCCACACAGTTGCTGTAGGTGGAGTAAAGCTTCTGACTGCTGTTAAGGTGCAGTGCAGTATTAATTCTCAGACACCTTTTCTCACCTCAGTGCCAGGTTGCCAATCACTTGGGCTTTGGGACTCAGATTTAGCTGGGTTGCAGTTCCAATTCTGCCACTTCCTAGTCCTGTGACCTTGGGCGTCCCTTGCCTTCTGTTAGCTTCAGTTTCCATCTTCTGTAAAAAGGGCTCCTCTAAAAGGGTTTAACCCAGTTTCTGACACAGAGTAGCAGCCAGCAGATGGGCACATGTCCTCCTTGCCCGCTACCTGCCTGTGTGGGACCCTGTGTGGGACCCTGTGTGCGTTTATTCTGGTGCATTAATCTCGACCCACTGCAGACCCTCCCTGGCTCCTTGCCACCCTCAGCATGAAATTGTTTCATACACTTCTCAGGCGCTTCAGGATCTGGCTCTGTCTACCTCACTAGCCTCCTTTCTCCCCCCGTGCACCAGCCCAGCTCTTCACTGTTGGCTTCCAGACTCTTTGTGGTAAATGGCCTGGCCTTGTTTTTCCTTACTGCTGTACCTGGGTGTTTGTCCTGCCGGCTGCTGGGCTGCCTCCCTGCCTCCCTAATATGAAGGGCTGTTTTTTTTTAGGTCTTATTGGTTTGTGGCTGTCGCCCACCCCCCCCCCCCCCCCCCTTCTGTACTGTTCTAGCCACTCCCCATCGCTGACCTTTTTGCAGCCCTAACTTACCTGAGGGAGTTTCACTGGGCAGCACTGTCCACTAGCAATGCATTGTGAGCCCCTGTGTCATTTAAACGTTTCTGGTAGCCACATTGAAAAGGGAAAGGAAACAAATGAAATTAATTTTAATAATAAGCATTTAAAACCCAGCATTTCCATATTTGCCTTGAGATGGGTAATTCCCAAGCCGTTGCTTTAAAGACTAAACTGGAATCCAGTTTGCCCTCAGACTTTTGTTGAATTAGGTCAGTATGTGTTATTCTCTTCGATCCTGGGGGTGCCCCCAGGAGCTGCAGCCCTGTGGGATTTGGACCCAGCTCCCAGCTCCTGGGATCTCACTGTGGCCAAACTGGCCAAAGCCCTTTATTATGGCCTGTCTGTAGTTTCCAAAGAATCTGGGGTTTGCAGTGCTCTCAGCATGGTTGGGTCTGAATCTTGCTTGGGCAGTTTCTAGCTGTGTTGCCTGAATAATTAACTGTTTGAGTCTCAGTTTCTCTTACTGGGTGGCTGTGAGGATAAAGCAGGCTTGTGGATAGGAAGGTGCCTGGCACCCACGAGGAAGCTCATTTAGTGCTTGCTATTTTTGTGGTAATATCCCCATGTCGCACTGCTTACAGGTGCTCTGCTCACAGCCCTGGGTTCCTCCTATGCTTTCATGCCCAGGAATCAGTCTCACCCCAACTGTGAAGTTTGAGGAGCAGTGGGAACAGTGAGTCCAGGGATCAAATGCATCCGGCTTGCCCCACACTGTGTATACAGTCCCGAGAACCCTGTTTGTGCCTTACTAGTACTCAACAGCTACTTGTTGAACTAATCGGTTTGCTCAATCTCTGAAAACTCCCCCATGTTTAGTAGTGAAATGCCGCTTGAAAAAGAGCACACGAGGGCTGTCAAGTGGTACAATCTTTCTTGAACACCATTTGGCATGATCTGTTAACATTTAAAATGTGGCTGTGTGTGTTTTAACAGCTTTACTGAAATATCACATGCCATTAAGTTTACCCATTTAGCATAGACTGAGGATTTTTTAGTATATTTACAGAGTTGTGCAATCCTCACTGTAATCTCATCTTAGAACATTTGCATCATCCAAAACAGAAACTCGGTGCCTGTTAACAGTCTCTCCCTGTCTTGGTTTAAGCTGCAGTAATGAGCGTGCCTTAGGGGTCTTGGAGACAACAGAGTCTTCTTTCCCACAGTTCCAAGGGTGGACGTCCCAGATCAGGGTGCCAACACGGTTGGGTCTGGTAGGGACTTCCGGCTTCAGACTGCCAGCTTCTCGCTGTATCCTCACGTGGTGGAGAGCGGCACTTAAAAACTGATCCCCACCACAGCAGGCTGTGAGGAAGGTCAGCCTGGAGGCTTCCTGTCCTGTCCAGTCCTGTCCAGAGCTCCGAGGCCTGGCTGCCCCCAGCGTGGGTTTGTTATGATTATACTGTGTCTGTGTGTATGTATTTTTTTTTTTTTTTGGTAATTTAGGGCACATTTCCTTAAGTTTTCTCCTTAAGTTATTTTTTTTTTTATAACAGACACGTTTTATATCATTATTCACCTGATGGTGCAACTTTACGATACCCGGTTTTTTGCTTGGTCCTGATCTGAAGGTGCAGTCTAGCTCCAAAGGCTGGTAATAAGAATGATTTGGACATTGAAGCCTAGAAACAGCAACTGCTGAGAAGTCAAGCTGAGCTTCCATCCGCTCTCAGCTTGTGGCTGGGCAGAGAAACATCTTTGGGGGCTAGACAGAAAAGGCTTGCGGTCCAACCTTGGCACTTCACTTAACTGCTACCTGTCTCTAGCCAGACTGTTGAAATTATCTGGGCCTTTGCACCTTCCTTTGAAAAATGCATGTCCCTTCAGGCAGCTGGGCAGGCTTCATGATGGTGAATCCTCTGTAAGTTGTAAAGTGCATACCGGTATGTTGCATCGAGAGGGTGATAATTTGCTCCCCTTTCTGGAATATTCGCCGTATGCCAGGTTCCTCGCTGGGCACTGTGCATCTTGTTTAATTGACAATTACTCATGAAGTAAATGAAGAAAGCAAGACTTAGAGAGTTGTGCAGCAGAGCTTAGGGTGGAATCCAGGGTAGGGTCCTTTATGCGCAGCACACTTCCTGTTTCTGGTTTAGCTCTGTCAGTGCCTCTGTCAGTGCCTCCCTGGACCTGTTTTTGTAATTAAACCTGGAAAACTTCTCTGGTAGCCAATTCTTTATTTTTGTTTGACACTCTTTTTATTTATTTAAGTTGTATTACTTTTATTGAGATAATCATGGTTTACAGCACTGTATATGATTTGGGGGGGTCACACCTCTTCAGTGTATGTTACCCGCTCACTACCAAAACGCCTGAAAACCTCCACTGGAGTCTACACATAATCCTCCCCTGAGTGCTCTCCTCCCCATCCTTCCTCCTCTGTTTGCTTCTACTCTGTGGTCAGATTTCTGGGGTTTACTTTGGTTGAGATTTGTCTGTTTCTTGGTTTAGTTTCTCTGTATTCCACATCTGGCATTTGTTTTTCTCCATCTGACTTATTTCCTTAGCATCATCCTCTCCAGTTCCATCCCTGTTGTTTGAAATTCTCGAAGCTTCTGATTGGGTGCCTGATTCTCTGAAGCTTAATTTTTATGACAGATGCAGTAATGATAATAATGACAAAAACAATAGCACCACTTATTGAGCACGTACTATGTCCTGAGTGTTTATGTGCATTAATTCATTTGATCTTTATAGGTTCTCATGTAATAGAAGGTATCTTCACAGAAGAAAGTAAGACTCAGAGACATAAGTAGCTCACGTTTGGCATGGTGGTCTGTACCTGGCCCATCTTTGGCGCATAGGACACTTGATGTGTGACTGAAGGATCTTGTTCCAGGTCACTCAGCTATTAGAGCTACAGCTGGAGTTCAGCCCCAGAGCCTGGGTTCCAGCGTCTGCGCTGCACATCTCCCAGGTGACTCAGCTGTGTCCCTGTGGGCTGTGGCCTGGTACTTGTCATGTGTGGCCCAGACGGTTTGACAGTCTGAGTTCAAATACTAACTCATCTCTTTAACTTGTGTTCTCTTCTCTCCTAGTGGCCTTGTTCCCAACTTACCAGATAGCCTGGATGGCGCCGGCCCCCTTGCTGGTTTGGGAAATGGTGGTAAGTACACCAAGCTGGGCATTTTCTTGTGTCAGAACAAGGGAAGCAGACACTGGGCTGTGAGGACTTTGTGGCTTTGAGCCTGGGCTTTGGTGACTGTGACCCGCCCCCCCACCCCCCAGCCTGGTGCTCATAGTAGATGCTCTGTGTTTTATGTATTGCTTTGCTGTCGTCAACATGGGACTGGAGGAATCCATGTCCTTTAGGCCTGATTTCTTGAGTTTGGTTTCTTGCTACCTGTCAGTGTCTGCTGAACTGTGGGATGGCATGGCGGCACGGTGTGGAATCGGTCAGCCACAGGGTCCGTTGCTCTCTGCTGCTGAGTGGCTGCGGCCCAGGGGAGCTGCTGTCTGCACTTCAGTTGCCAAAGCCTTCCTGGCAGGCTGCTGGATCCCACTTGCCTGCGGAGGCCCAGCATGCCTACACGGGCCTGCCCTTTGGAGATAAATAGCTGGGTAGGCCACGGGAGACAGCAGGGAGTAAATAATCTGCGTTGTGTTCCAGCTGGATTGTGAGGAGACTTTCTGTTCTGTAGTTTGGGTCTCACTAAACATTCTTCACAGTTTTTGTTACTGATTAAAGGGGATGCTGTCGTAACTATCTGTGGGAAGCACTGTAACTGGCCTGGTCGAAATATCATAGAGATGTTTTGACTTGTTTCCCCCTCTTCTCCAAAGTGATAAGATGCATGTAAAAGGAAGTTTTTCGAACGCATATGGAAGTGTCACAAGGTTTGCTGCTGAACACTTTAACTAATAGGCCACCCTCAGGGTTTCTTTAAGTGCATGTAACTTTTAATATAAAACCCAGGGATCCAGGCTTCCGTCCTGCCTTCCCATACGCAGTGAACAGCAGCAAAATGACAGGCCTGTCCCCTCACTCAGCCCATAGAGTACGTGCTTCCTGCGAGGCTCTGGGCTGGGCGCTGACATGCAGCCTTGATCAGGTTCCTGCTGAGCTGAAGAGAGACAACTGAACAGGAATTACTATGACGAATCATGTGATGAATGTAGTGAGTGAAGGAGGTGCTCTGAGTGGGGATAAGAGATGATCCTGGTCTGCAGGGGTGGGGCAGAGTACCCCGAGGACTGATACTGGGGCTTGGACTTGAATAATGAGTAGACCCTCCATAGTGCACCCACAGCGTGTGGCCCACTTGAGGGAAACAAACCCTGTGCCTTCCATCTGGCATATGGCTCTCTTCAGAGGCTGCCCAGCCCAGCGCCTGGGGGATGATCCCTGAACACCATCCTGCTCGTCAGGATGCTGCCTAGTCAGGCTCAGCTCAGAGTTCCCTGCCGCCTCTGGCTTTCTCCAGCTGACTTAGGTGACCTTGTGTATTTCACTTTGCTTCACCTGCTTTGAAAATACCCAGAATCAGATCAGTTTTTAGCTGATTAAATTCCTACCACCCTGGTCTCTGGCCTGGATTACCCCAGGATTCTCCTAACTGGTCTCCTTGTCTCTAAATGTCTTTCTCATCAAGTGTTCTCAGTAAGGCCACCGGCGGGAGCCTCTAGAAAGCGAAGCTCAGTCATGTTAACGTCAGCTCAGGATCCTGTGGCTCCTAGAGACCTGAGAAGAGCTCACAGGGCCGTTCCTGGTCACCCTGCTCCCCTCCTCTCCCAACAACCCCTTTGTTTATCTCGCTCCCTGCCACTGTCTCTTGACTGGTCCTCATCCATTATGCATGCTCTTGCCTTCCGCCTTTGATCTTTCTTGTCAAGTCTGCCCAGATGTCACCTTCTCAGTGAGACCTTCTATAATTTAAGCACCTTTAAAAAAATTGCAATCCTCCCCCTAGCCTTTGAATTTCCTGTCCTTAAGCGCTTGATTTTTCCGCATAGCATTTCTCACCTCTTACCGTACTATGTCATTGCCCTCTTTCTTTGCTTATTGTCCTTTTCCTCTTTCCAGGATATCGATATCAGCTCCATTTGATTGTCTTGTTTCCTGATGTAGCCACATCACCGTGGTGCCTAGCAGAGGGTAGGCCCTTAGCGCTATCTGTTGGAAGAACGAATTCATTCCTTCAGCACACATTCACAAAGTTGTTTGTCTCAGGTGCAGGTCTCTGTCCCTCTAGCCATGTTTCCCCAGCACCTGGCGTGGGTACAGAGCAGGTGATCAATGTTTGTGGAATGCAGAATCCATGGAAAGATTTGGGTATTGGCAAAGCCTGTGGTTACTGTGCAGTGGGGATCGGCAGCTTCCGACCCACAGCCCGCTTTGGAAAATAAACTTTCATTGGAACACAGCTTCTTGATCTATTTATAAATTAACTGGGGCTGTTTTGTGCTCTAACATCAGAGTCTAGCAATTGTGACAGGTTTTCGGCTCTGGATATGGCCTGCAAGGCCTAAAATATTTTTCTGATGTTTAGAAGCAAAGTTTGTCAGCCCCTGCTGTCAAGTCAGTGAGACATGCTTTGTTTTAATTGCGGACATGGAGATGATAACCTGTTCAGTAAAATAACTTTATGACAAGCAGAGGGAAGTCCATGTGAGGGCCGTTCTGCTTTGCTTCACGCCTGACTCAGTTTTGAGCCCGCTCCCTCACAGGCATTGTTACGTCGGGGCCAGCTTAAGTCATCTGTAAACATTCGAGATGTGGTGGTTTAGAGCTTTCCTGAGATCGAAATCGGTAAATCCCAGCAGACGGGAAGTACCAACAGCCTCCTTGGAAGCTATTCATGTGCTTTTCTTCTCTGGGCTCCCTTGCTTAAGAGGGAAGTGCTGGGCACTTGGCATACATGACATTTCCTGTGTCTCTTTCACGGTTTTACAGCGCTCCCAAGTGTGTCAGAAGATACAGTGTCTCCCACCAGAGCGCGGAACATGAAGGACTTTGAAAACGTAAGTGGAGCTACCAGATTTTCAGCCTAACAAGTCATGTCTGCTGCCTCTGCCCTGCCAGACCCAGGAGGGAGCTGCGTTTCTCAGGAAGCATCGAAGCTGCTGTTACCCGTGTTGGGAGGAACGTGGGGTCTCCGGGCTCTCTCACTGCCACTGATGCTCCCTGCGTGCAGCCCTTATGTTTGTAGGCCATTGATGGGTTCCGGTAGCACCAGCAGTTTCTGATTTTTGTGTATTTCTGGTGTCTCGCATGTGAGGATATTACCATGAGGCACGGTTAAGGGGAGCCAACATTTTTCAAAGGGCTTTCCTGTCATGTCTGGCTCAATGTTAATATTTCCTATTTAATCCTTGCTACAACTCTTTGGGATATTTGTATTATCCTTATTTTACAGATAAGATGTCTGAAGGCTAGGAGACGACACCCTTGTGGTCATGGGTGCTTAAGTGGCAGAGCTGGGATTTGAACCCGGTGTTTTCATGACCCCGAAGCCAGTGTTCGTTCCACTGCATTGTGCTTTCCTGCTGTGTGTCTCGTCTTTGCCACCCTGAGGACCCCGGGCGCAGCCTAGAGCCAGAGCCACGTCGGGTTGTCGGGGGAAGGACAGCTTGTGGGTAGATGTGGCTTCCGGGCCTCCTGTCTCCCGGCACTGTGTCTCTCGTTTGTTCGGGGAGGGGAGCTGTTGTCAAGTCACAGGAAAATCAGGTTATTTTCCCAATTCCAATTCTCCTTAACAAGTAACCTGTTCAGTACTCTCGTTTATCATGGGAAGAATTAGACCCTTCTTCATTTGTAACCCGATGAAATCCATACTCTGCAAGACACAGGAGATATTTATCAGAGAGAAGATGGAGGACACAGGAGAAGGACGGGCTGCAATCACGTTTCTCTCTCCCCAGTTGTCTTTACAGAGCGAGTGGTGCTGTCTCTGGATTTAATTTAGAATACTCATTACTGCTAATAGTTATCTGCAAATCACCAGTGACCAATTGAAGAAATGACTTGTCAGATCTCTAATGGAAACAAGTAATTTCTGAGCTTTGAGTTGTTATAATTTCCACTGTACGACTTGGTCTGTGCTGCAGGGTCTGGGGCCTCACGCGAATGAGATTTGATTATTCCTCATCGTGTATAATTAAAATGTGCTCTGCTATTCAGCGGTTGTTCCAGTTTTATCAAAAGAGTAATAATAGTTACTGTTGATTGAACTCTCGCTCTGAGCTGGGCCCTGGAAGTGCCACGCTCTTCATAGGCACGGCTCTCACACAGTGCGGCGGCTGGCTGCAAAAGACACGGACTGGCAGTTTGTGAAGGGCACGGGTTGGAATTTTATTTCTAGATGGGAAAAGCTAAAGGAACCTTACAGTTTGGGTTTCACATTTTAGTGTCCGCTTCTCAGATGGGCAGGAGTCTCAGAACCGGGCCTCGCCCTGTCTGTTACGTGTCGCAAGTCTGGGGCCTGGCACGGGACGTGGCAGCGTGGCTGTCCGAGGCCGGCGGTGCTGCATGGAGATGCGGAGCCAGCGCGCTGCCCGTCCAGGGCTGCTGGAACCCGGGGCCAGTGTCCTCTTGCCTCCCGGGCTTCAGTTGGGCATAGTGGTGTCTGTGTCCTAGCGCTAATTTATGGACTGAATGAGTGCATAGCCATATACATAAAAAAGTTCATTCTGTGTGCGGACTAGGCGTCCTCTGAGTGTTACATGTCTCATTGTTTATTCTACTCTGCCTCCTGATTTAAAATTTCCCTTGTTCAGACAAGTTGACGGCCTGAATGCTGGTCTTCTTGAGGGCGAGAGCCTTCTGTGCCAATATGTTCTAGGATTTATGATTTTACTTTATGTTTCGGTCCTTTGGCAGCTGTAGGTTTTTATAGTGTTAATATTTTTATTGTAGCATTTTCAGGAGCAAATTCTGCAGTTGAAATTGAAATGACCACACTGTTCTCTATGTCTCCCTCTCAGTCACTGAAATTTTTCATTTAGCGTGATCTCTGTGTAGAGGTAGTTTGAACTTTCTGTGGGATGCTTATAGGAATTGCTGTTGGCATGAAGTCTTTGAAAAGCAGCATACATATGAAAGAGCGGACTGGAATACTTTTGGTTTAAAGGGGAAACTCACTTTTTTCCCATTCTAGTCTCATATGAAAGCTGTCTGAACATTAGGGTCGGTTAGCTCACAGCTAGCAAGACACAGCCTCCTTTGGTTTTGCTCAGAATTCGTACATTCATTAAGAAACATTTTCAGGGTCCTCCTTGGGCGTGCAGCGGGTTAAAGCGCAGCACTGTGAAGCTAGCCCTCGCTGTTTCAGCAAGAGTTTGATCCCTGGCCAAGGAGCTGACTCACATGGTGCTGCAGACTTCTGTCTCACTGGCTGCTCCCCTCAGCCGTGCACTTCATCAGTCTTCCTGTTCTGTTCTCCACTCTGTCTCTTGTGAATCCTCTCACTGCACCTGCACCTCTGGCCTGTACCCCTGTTGTATGCATAAATAAATAAATCTTTAAAAGTAAATATTTTCAAATATATGCCCAGTGCCAGGCTGTATACCCCAGCCTAGGGTGGCCGCAGTAGATTAAGTCCAAGTCTGTCTCTGTCAAGAGGCTTCCAGTCTAGTTGGGGCGAGGCATAGGAAATAGTTCAGTGAGAGAGGCAAGGACAGGGGTCTGTGGGACTCAGGCTCTGGACATAGCCTGAGGGTCTCAGGGAAGCCTTCCTGGAAGAGAGAGGTGTTCCTTGAGTTCGGTCTCAGGAACTAGTAGGAATTAGGCAAGGCAGAGGACTGGGAGAGTACCCTTGGCACAAGGTCTCACATATGCAAAGAGGCAGAAAAGGGCCTAATGAACTTAGGGACTTGTAAGTTTGATTGGAAGGAGGCGAGGTGTCTGTGTGTGTGTGTTGGGGAGAGAGGGCAGGGTTCTCACTGAAGCCACAGTGTTGGGGACTGACTCCGATCCACGGGTTGTTGGGGGGCAGAACAGGCAGGGTCTTAAGGTGGGAGTGGTGTCGGCGAGCAGAGATTCCTATAAAGGAGGGGAAAGGGAATCGGAATTGGGTGCAAGTCTTCCTGGTCTGGTCTCAGCAGAACTTTATATATACATTAGCGGCAAGCAGTGGGGTAATATTAGCATATGAATTGGGTTGAGATCTGAATAGTTTGGGGTCTCATTGACCTTAGCTGAGGACATAACATTTATTATTCTTAAAATCAATCTATTAAAGTTAAAACAGGTACATGAATTCATGAAATTTAAGGTTAATGTTGCCACATTTACCACAGTGATGATAGATTAAAAGAAAGTCCCTTAAACCCTAATTACTACTTAATGACCTTCATTCTCATTGATACATCCTAGAGGGTAAAGTCAAGTGGAGGGTTAGGATGGAGGCTAGGGTGGAGTAATTTTCTAGTAAATCAATCACAAAAAGAGATAAGGTAAAGTTCCTTAAAAACTGAATAGAAAACTTAGGTGAAGTTCCTTATTTAAAGACTAAACAATAGAAAACTTAAGTAGTTCTTTAGAAACTGAATAGAAGGCTTAGGTGAGATAGTGGAGTGATGAGATTTAGGTTCTCGTCAGGGCAGTGGAAGAACAGGTCTAGTACTGCCTCATGTTACAATATTGATTTTGTTATAGCAGCCAATTGCTTTTATTAATCAGCCAACTGTAAAATTACTTTTGACTTCAAGAGGAATTTCTCACCCTTGCGCAGCACTTGCAAGTATCTTTTTACAGTTATGTGATTATTTTCTTAGGGGGCAATTCCTAGAAATGGGATTTCTGGTGTAAGAAGTTTCAGGTACGACGTGTGCAACAACATAGATACTATAAAATAGGATTTATTATGTCTCATGGCTTCCTTTCTGAGGAATCGGGAAACTCACCTGCAGGTGTGGCTGAAACATTGTTTGCATCCTGTTCCCACCTGGTTCTTCATCCTTATCCTGGGCTGTTCTTGTTCCAGGGCACCCCAGTGTGAACTGGATGCCTCTCTGTGGGTCCTTACCCGCACACTTAAGATTCAATCATACTTGGGAATGCAAACTAGTACAACCACTATGGAAAACTGTTTGGAGGTTCCTCAAACTGCTAAACATGGAGCTTCCCTACGACCCAGCAATCCCAC